AACAGAGGTTGCTTTATAATAACTGATAGCCAGAGTTACTTTTCATGGCTCAGTACACTACAAATGAGGTCATCAGTGAAAAAGTCTAGTTTGAGAAAAAATACATTCAGGCAAATCATTAACAAATATTAGAAAAGAACAGGGGACCAAGGAAACTTCCCTGCGGAGTGCCGAATGTTACTTGAGCTGTCGAAGAGTAAGAGCCATTAACAGAGGTGAATTGACTGTGATATCAGAGGAACCCTTGTATACTAAGATGTGTGTGTGAATGTTCAGTTGTGTTAACTACAGAGTCTATGGCCCGTATTCACAAACCAACCTTGGCCTTTCCTCGAGTTCTCCTCAAGCTTTTGTACCCTCTACTTGTGTTATAAAGGCACAAAAATGGTAAGGAGGTAAAAAACTACAACAAGACTGGTTCACGAATACTGGCCAACTTTGTACATCAAGGGCAATAAAGGCTTACAACCGATAACAAAAACTTGAGGTAACACCGAGGATGGTTAGTGAATACAGGCCTATGGTCGGAGACCCAATCAGTGCACCGAAAAAACTGGGAAACAAGGTTTCAACTTGAAAGCCAGTGTCTATTAATAAGCCATGAGTAAATTATGTCAGCTGATGATCACAAGGAAATTCCTTACAGAAACTGTGCTAATTAAACATGATGTAATCTTTGAAATAATTATTTATTTGAGTTTGAATGATGCCTTCGAGGAGCTTGGAAAAAGTGTAAGTGAAAGAAATGAGTCTGTAGTTTAGAGAATCAGGGCAGGTGCCTGATTAGAACATTGCATAACTTGGCTTCACACCAGTGATGAGGAATGCAGCAAAAGGATAATGATCAATAAAAAAAGTGCAGTAAAGGCTTCAAAAATGCACCCAAATCTGAGCACACGGGCCTACAACATTTCCGCCTCCATCGGAAATGCAGCCGCCACAGCCGGGATTTGATCCCGCGACCTGCGGGTCAGCAGCCGAGTACCTTAGCCACTAGACCACCGTGGCGGGGCCTAAAAACAAGGAGATCTATACTTGCAGCATTTTTATTGTTTCTAAATAAAGAAAAAATACCATCTTTACTGACGACTACAAATTTATTGCATAGAATAGAGAAATCATGAAATGAACTAAAGATTCGAAAAGGAGTAACCATTTCAAGAGTGAAAACAGATGAGAACGCTTTTATAATAAGATAGGCAGAATAGACGCCATTCAGCTAGTCAATGTTCAGATGGATCAGGATATAAATGCGGCTTATATTACATTCCAAAATCTCCAGGGTTTATTACATAGCACAGTGGACACGCAGGGGCGTCTGCATAAGCAGGCGTTTAGTGTGTAGTGACACCACGGACCCGAGCTAAGGGGGGGGGGGGGTTCTCACCAGAGATGGATTGGCCACCCGGGTGCAGTATCTGGCCACTACCTCCCACATGCATACGTCAAATAACTCACGGCCCTCAGTCCCCAGCAGCTGCGAAGCAACTGACCCCGGCGGCGGTCAGATCTGCAATGCAGCAGAGGGTGCTAAGAATCTCTGGATCCAGACAGGCCACCATTGGAACCTGAACTTGGCAACGTTTAACACTAGAACCTTATCTAGTGAGGGAAGCCTAGCTGTACTACTCGAGGAGCTAGAGGGTGTTAAATGGGATATAATAAAACTCAGTGAGGTTAGGAGGATAGATGAGGCCTATACGGTGCTACAGAATGGGCACCTCCTTTGCTATCGAGGCTTGGCTGACAGAAGAGAACTGGGAGTGGGGTTCCTAATTCACAGAAACATAGCTGGCAACATATAGGAATACTATAGCATTAATGAAAGGGTGGTAGGTATCGTAATTAAACTCAATAAGAGATACAAGATGAAGGATACAACCTTACGCGCCTACATCCAGCCACGATGACGCATCAGTTGAAAGCTTCTATGAAGACGGACGTGGAATCAGCAATGAGTAAGGTAAAAACACACTATACTATACTGATGGCAGACTTTAATGCAAAGATAGGCTGGAGACCAGGCAGTAGGAGATTATGGCATCGGTACTAGAAATGCCGAAGGAGAGCTACTAGTAGAATTTGCAGAACGCAATAATTTACGTATTTTGAATACCTTCTACCAAAAACGAGGAAACCGTAAGTGGACATGGAGGAGCCCTAATGGGGAAAGTAAGAACGGAATAGACTTTATAATGAGTGCACACCCAGGCATCGTGCAGGATGTGGAAGTGGTTGGCAGGGTGTGATGCAGTGACCATAGAATGGTACGGTCACGATTTCACCTAGACTTGAAGAAGAAACGACAGAAACTGATACGCAAGAAGCCAATCAATTAGCTAGCACTGTGAGGGAAAGTAGAGGAATTGAGAGTCTCCCTTCAGAACAGGTGCTCGGCTCTTATCGAGGAAACCAGCCTTAGCGTTGACGCAATGAATAATAATCTGAAGAGTATCATTATGGAGTGTGCAGTGGAAGTTGGAGGTACGGTACTTAGACAGGAAACTGCCAAGCTGTCCCAGGAGACGAATAACCTCATTAAAGAGCGTCAAAGCATGAAAGTCTCAAGTACAACAGACAAAATAGAACTGGCAGAACTTTCGAAGTTGATTAATAGGCGTAAGGTATTCGATGTAAGAAGGTATAACATGGAGGGAATTGAACATGTTCTGAAAAATGGAGGAAGCGTCAAAACAGTGAAGAGGAAACTTGGAATAGGGAAAAATTGGATATATGCACTAAGGGACAAAGAAGGCAAAATAACTACCAATATGGATAGGATAGTTAAAATAACGGAGGAGTTTTACAGAGATCTGTACAGTAGCCAGGACAACCTCGACCTTAATACTATAAGAACTTGCAGTAACCCAGATGACACCCCACTAGTAATGATAGAAGGAGTCAGAAAAGCTTTGGAGAGCATGCAAAGAGGCAAAGCTGCTGGTGAGGATTAGGTAACATCAGATCTGCTGAAAGATGGAGAACAAATTGTGTTAGAAAAACTAGCCATCCTATTTACGAGGTGTCTCCTGACGGGAAGGGTACCAGAGTCTTGGAAGAATGCTAACATCATCTTAATACATAAGAAAGGAGATGACAAGGACTAAAAGAATTACAGGCCGACCAGGTTGCTGTCCGTAGTATACAAGTTATTTACAAAGGTACTTGCTAACAGAGTTATTAAAACATTAGAATTCGATCAACCAAAGGAACAAGCAGGATTTCGAACAGGATACTCAACAATCGACCACATTCATACTATCAATCAAATAATAGAGAAATGCTCAGAATATAACCAACCACTATTCATACCCTTCATAGATTACGAGAAGGCGTTTTATTCAGTAGAAATATCATCAGTCATGCAGACACTGCGGAATCAGAGCGTCGATGAAGCATATACAAAGATCCTGGAGTACATCTACAGGGGATCAACTGCTGTCCTAATGCTTCATAAAGAAAGCAACAGAATACCAATCAAGAAGGGTGTAAGGCAGGGGGATAAAATCTCCCCAATGCTATTTACCACGTGCTTACAGGAGGTTTTCAGAGGCCTAGAATGGGAACAGTTAGGGATAAGAGTTAATAGAGAATACCTTAGTAACCTGCGCTTCGCCGATGACATTTCATTGCTGAGTAACTCAGGGGACTAATTCCAACTCATGATTAAAGAATTAGACAAGGAGAGCAGAAAGGTGGGTCTTAGAATTGATCTGCAGAAAACGAAAGTAATGTACAACAACCTCGGAAGAGAGCAGTGCTTCAAGATAGTTAATAGTGCACTTCAAGTTGTTTATTTATTTTTATTTCATAATACCCCTAAAGGCCCCCGAAGGGGTATTACATAGGGGAACAAACACATGAAACAAATTTTTGTACGCTTATACAGTCTAAAAACAAGATTAAACAAAATAATGAAAGCGAGCTAAATACAAAAAGCAACAACAACAACCAAAATCAGATACTATGAAAAAAAGAAAAATTAAGTAGAGATGAAATATTGAATACTGGAAACATAAATTAAGGGCACTAACAAATACAGTATACAAGGAAAAAAAACTAAAATGATGGCATGATCTTAAGATACAAAAGTTCGTAATTAACACATAAATAATACAAATCAAGCGTGTACAATGGTCGTGAAAAACATTAACACATGATAACAAGAAAAATAAACACTGATGTACATATGAAGAAGCTTAATGAGAGTACGCGCGGTGGATATCTAATCGGAAATGTTGAGTAAAAGTTCGTTAAATGTTGGGAAATCTGCTTGAGTGGCAATGTGGGATGGCAAGCTATTCCATGCAACTATTGTTCGGGGAATGAAGGAATTAGCGTAATGAGCTGAGTGACAAGTTATACATTTTATCTTGAAGATATGGTCTGTGCGTGGAAAGATGACTGTTGGTGCTTCGAAAATGCGGTGAAGGTATGGGTGATGATAGAGCTTGTGGAGAAGCGAAAGGCGGGCAGTTCTGCGGCGATGAGTTAAGTCGTCAAGCTGAGCGCGAGTTTTTAGTAAAAGACTATGTCTACTTAGTGCAGGTAATAACCACGGAGCCGAACCAAGAGATTGAAGTAACTAGAAGAATAAGAATGGGGTGGAGCACATTTGGCAAGCACTCTCATGTTATGACAGGTAGATTGCCACTATCCCTCAAGAAGAAGATATATAACAGCTGTAACTTGCTGGTACTTAGCTACGGAGCGGAAACCTGGAGACTTACAAAGAGGGTTCAGCTTGAATAGAGGATGATGCAGCGAGCAATGGAAAGAAAAATGGTAGGTGTAACTTTAAGAGACAAAAAGAGAGCAGAGTGGATCAGGGAACAAAACGGGGTTAAGCATATCATAGTTGAAATCAAGAAGAGGAAATGGACATGGGCTGGGCATGTAGTGCATAGACAGGACAATTGCTGGTCGTTAAGGGTAACTAACTGGATTCCCAGAGAAGGCATGAGAGTTAGGGGGAGACAGAAGGTTAGGTGGGCAGATGAGATCAAGAAGTTTGTGGGTGTAAAGTGGCAGCAGCAAGCACAGGATCGAGTTAACTGGCGAAACATGGGAGAGGCCTTTGTCCTGCAGTGGACGTAGTCAGGCTGATGATGATAGTGCACAGCACCTCAACTGACGGCTTGAGGCTTTGAGCATTTTTCTGTAATCCATATCACTTGCTGTTGAATTCCCAAGGATTAATAGGGTACAGTGTAGACCTACACAGACATTTTTGTTTCTTCTTTTTATTGGCTCTTTGAGGCAAAAATGCACATTTACTACACCGTACTTTTGTAACAGGTATGTGTCATATCATGAGTTCGGGTAGTTTTGAACGGCGTCTAATTTTGTTTAAAAAAATGGGGAGAACATAGAGCTAAAAGGCTCTCAGAAAAAGAAGTTTCAAGGTTTATCTCATCAAAATCAGAACCTACAATTTGTATAGGCTTCGTGATAAACTGAGTTAGGCGAAAGTCTTAACAAGCTTTTATAGTAAGGCATGGGCTACCTTATCACTAGCCAAGATAGATAAAGTGACAAAACTGAAGCCTGGAAGTTTAAAATCGCCGAACGTTTATAACTAACACTAAATTTGGCGTAGGTGAGGAGGCGACAAAATTTGTCAGTAGACCATCATATAAGGTCAGGAGGATTTTGCCCGGTCCTTTAGACCCACATGTTTTTGTCCTGCCACTGTTGAGCTTCAGTTATGAACTAAGTAGCCAAGAAGGGCATCTCTTAATCTGTCTATGTTATGAGAGATTAAAATGCATGTGTCGTATCAGTTTAGGTCATCGTGCACAATGAATGCATGGATCCGATGCAAGCAAATCAACGCAATACAGGCATCACACATGAAGCAAGCACTTCAGCTCCTTAGTCAGACATATGATCGCAGCACTTCCAACCATGCCCTGGTCACCTCAATAGCGAGACGTGAAGACTTCGTAGATCATGTGAGTTTTTCGACAAAATTGTAGTGCTTTTGTAATCTAGCTGCTATAGGCAACATTAAAAGAGGCTCTCGTGCAGTGCCACGATTGCCGGCCTAATGCTGACTGTACTAACATTGTCGTCACAGGTGAAATTAATGAATTAGTGTGGTTTTAATGTTGGGTGTTGCATTAATTAAATTGATGGCAACCTGTACAGTATGGCTGGTAATTCAAGTAGTAATGGGTTAGTCATCTTTATCTCATTTGTGAAGAAAGGTTGGATGAAAACAGCTTGTATACCTTTCTCTTATGTTGATGATAATAACCTTTCTACTTGGAAAAGGTTTCTACATGCATACGAAGCTACAATAGTCAGCCCTGTCCATAGCTGTACAAGGTTTGCAAGTCCTACCTGCGAACCAATCGCTGCACTATAACACGCTAAAAAAGAAAACCGAAGAGCACCTGCAAGTGCTTTATATGGCAGTCTATTTGCGAACATATTCAACTCATACTTAGTGGAAGTGCAGCAGCACATCGTAGCCGCATGAATTAAGATGTGTAACCCTGGGCATGAGGAAGGTCAAGCTGGTTTGCTTGGTGGTCCAGACACGACTACCTGGTCTAGAGGCACAAGCGACAACATGGCCAACATTCCAGATTTGTTTAAAAGAAATAAGCGGACCATCTCTTCCTCAGAGTGTAAGCATGTAAACATTTTAATATCCAGTGCAAGGGTATAGTTAGCACAGAAGCTTAACGTGGCATGCATAGCACGTACATAAATGACTTTTTGTTAACTTTTTCATATAAGGCGATCAATAATGTGCTGCATGAAAACTGAAAATTGCATACGCAAGTTGGATCGCATTCTTGATTTTAGCAGCGCACTGAAAGATCCTCGTCCCTCAGAGCACTGCTGAAATCAATAACAACAATGTACTGTCTGCGACACAAGTTAACAAGTTTCTCCTAAGCACATATTGGACTGATCTTCCTGAATGCCGCCTCCTTTGATTTCGAATGTTTGATTATCCTCGCAGAATAGGACATTTATACGCTTGTTCAACAATCGATGCACTTTCTTGCCGAGACGTACAAGGACACACAAAACTCCAGGCCCGTAAGCGAAAACGATGCAACTGACTGCATCGTTTCCTCCGCCACTGGGTAAGCAATGCTGTTCACGCTATTTATTGAGGCTCTGATGACAGAAAAACGCGCCGCAGTAGACGTGGTACCAGAACAGCGTCACTGGACGCATAGATTTCGCGAACGAAAGGCAAGCATGCCCATTAATTTGACACCAGACCACCGATTTCCTCTCTGTCTACAAAAGAAACACTCTGTCGACAGGCAAGGATGCACATTAATTTGACGCCAGACCACCGATTTCCTCTCGGTCTATCAAAGAAACACTCTGTTGACGTTGCAATGCAGATTTATCACACCCTGTTCGGCGAATGCTGTTGACATGGCACATTGCGATGTAGAACGTACACATGTACTGTACAATATTGTGTGCGATACTGTACGTATGTGTACTGTATGTGTACAATACTGTACACATGTACTGTATTAGGGTAGTCGTAGGATCAAAATACGCTCCAAACCGAAACCAGGGGCAAACCCGCTGCACCCTCGAGCACAGAACAAACAATCAACTTATTTTCCTTTTAATAATACTTATAAACCAACAAATAATTTATTAGGTTGTTAAATTGAGCAATATATACTAATATTACAAAAACAGTATACAAAAACAAATATTTTTATTCAATGCGTTAATAATTAATTTATGCACTATAAAAACACGTTACACACTTGTTTAATGACAATTTTGTAAGTTTATTGCATTATAAAGTAATTATTTGCACATTTAAATAGCTTTACGTTAATTTTTTTAAAGTGACGTCACTTCCGTGCGGCGCAGCAGCCAGTTCTGTGTGGGGATGGCTGGAGCGCCGCGCGGCGCACGAGACGCTGCCTAGTTTTAACTTCAGCAATTTTTTTTTTAAACCTTCTTGGCCTGGGGTTCGGTAAAAAAAAGTTTAAAGGCACGCATTTTCCACGCGTGTCATGTTTTGTACCGGGTGTTTCAGGAAACGTGCCCGAAATTCTCAAAATTTGGGACAGTATGATATTTCTTCGATGCCTTTATTTTGTAGCCGTAGGCATTAGCCGACAGGTCATGCCCAAATACCCTAGATTTTCCTCTTTTACTTGTAAGATTCGTTTGTACGCTGATGATTGTGTTTTATATCATGTAATCCACTCGCCCAATGATCACATCCTTCTGAACGATTCATTTGCATCTTTCTGCAACTGGTGCCGTTCCTGGCAAATGGACATTAATTACAAAAAAACTGTGTTCATGTCCTGTACTAATAAATTAGTTCCTTCAGATTTCAACTACTCATTTAATGGACTGTCTCTGCCGAAAGTTTACCAATATAAATACCTTGGCTTGCTTTTCACTCCTAACCTGTCCTGGTCTCACCATATTGATTACATTACTTCTAAAGCGCTGAAAAAACTTTGTTACCTCCGGCGTACACTATCTGCGGCCCCTAGCGACACAAAACTAACTGTGTACAAGACCCTTATCCGCCCCGTGCTCGAATACGCGTCACCTGTATGGAACCCCTACAACCAGTGCGAAATAAAACAAATAGAATCGGTACAGAAAAAGGCCATTAGATTCAGTCTTCAGGCGTTATGACTCTGCTTTTTCACCTACGTCAGCATTACCATCTTTGAACCTATTTCTACTTTCATCGCGAAGGAACATTGAGTCTCTCAAGTTATTACATTCTATAATTTATTCGACGTGCAAACTTTCAAAAGATCTCTACTTAACATGTTCCAGACCTTCTTCAACACGCCAATACCATCCTTTGAATATGACACCATTCTACGCCCGTACTAACACGTTTAAATTTAGCTTCTTTCCACGAACTGTTGAGCTTTAGAATAACTTATCCGGTGACATACGTTCTTTGCCCTTAAATGAATTCTTGTTATCCATAAATACCCTTTGACAGTTTGTCTTTTTCCGTTTCACTGTTTACTGTGTTTACTGTGTTCTCTTCCTTGCCACCATGTCTTCATTATGCCACCATGTGATGCCATGTATTGCCACTTTGTATTTTGCTTTCCTTCGCAAAGTATTACACCATGTTTTGTACCGGCCTGTTACCCACTCCTGCCATAGCCCTTACGGGTTGCAGTATGTAAAAAATAAATAAATAAATAAATAAATAAATAAATAAATAAATAAATAAATAAATAAATAAATAAATAAATAAAAAGTACCGACAACTGCCTCCTCTGGCCGCCCTCTTCCAGATGCAGCCCATGTCTACCGCCATGTTCTTGCATAGTTGGAAGATTTACAAAACCGCGTAGAAATATTTACATTAGCCCCAAATCCAGCTTTGGATTCATGATCATAAAACGTTCATTAGATGTTCTGCGCGAGTAGATCGGTGGGTGGGATCATTTGTCCGAGATCTCATTGGAACTGCTGGTGTGGAAGCTCCCGCAACGCCTTGTCAACAAAAGTGAAGCCACGTTTGATTGATTGATTGATTGATTGATATGGCTGAACCCTTTAGATCGGGGCTAACGCCACCTAGCCGTACGCCTTGATTTGTGGCGCGCAATCTAGTGAGCATTGTTGGAATCGCCTGAGAGCCGACACCGTGAGCGGCGACGCGCTAAGTGGTCAGCATTTCTGAAATCACCAGAGAAGTGTACACGCCGCTGCTGGACAGGGCGCGAGCATAATTAACTCGCCGAGCAAGCTCCTAAAAAAAGACTCGTCTTTGAAAACGGCGTGAGGTATAAAAACGGAGCTCTCAGGCTACACTGATGATAATTATTATGACGGCTCTTGTCTTCACGTTATATCAGACGAATGAATAAAGGACCCTGTGATTTTTTTTTAATTCTGTGTTCTTTTCATGTTCTAGTTGTAGAAAGAGCTCCCTTAAACTTTATGCTCATTTTTTTTACGTGTAGCATACGCAAATGCGTTGGATATTCAATTCATAGCTAAGATAGATTTATTCCTTTGACGCTGTAGTGGGTCCGAGCCAAAAGTAGAAGATCAAGCAAGCAAGCGGGACGGCTAAAGGGCGCGGTGCGCGCGGGTACGTGCCAACGCAACACCACCTAGGGTGTTGGCCAACGTTCGTGAAACCATTCATTATCCTCAACAGCTTTTCATTGCTTGCTGCTTGCTATGGGTGAGTTTATCTTTTGTAGTTGTAAAATTTATATAGATGTAGGAATTATACAACATGACATTTCCAGTTGCTTAAGAAGTGTGGCACTGTCTGGCTGGAGATCGCAAATGGTTGCGGTGACTCCAAGCGCGCCCAGGAAATACGCGATGTTCCAGCGTCCGGGTGGTTTCGATAATGTACGTACAGTGGACGCTAGGGCAAATTGAATATTTTGTGTAACACGTTACACTCTATGTAACAAAACCGAAGGCGAAAGTCTGCTCTTCACTTGACAATGCATTTAGTGGCGCGGTTAGAAAACGGAGATCTAACGTAACAAACCATAGTGTGAGAGGCTCCCGAAAGGCGCCCTGCAGCGTGGTCAGAAGACGCTACCGATCGGCAGTCGAGAACCCTGAATAAACGCGAGCCAAGCATTGCAGCGCTGCACGCTGCCCGAGAAATAGTACAATTTATTGTCAGTCAACTAGTATAATCACTCCGTTCACTGGACAAACGATGCATATGCCAAAATGACCGCGCCATAAACTGTTCAGATGACTGATTTGAGCACCGGGAACTGCGTAATTACCGTAGCGGCCACAAGATGACGCCATGTGCCTGCGTGCGCGAGCAAGTAGCGAACACACTGAGTGTAAGCCACGCTTCCAAGGAAAAAAAAAAAAAGATATGTTAAAAACGGGCTCAAAGTCCTGACGCGTACTGACAAATAGGCTATCTTCTTGTCCCCTCCCTGTGTAGCTTTTAGCGCTCACGCTGGTACGAAAGGAGAGAAAAAGCGCTTGACGCGTGTGACACGTTTTTATAACTCCGTTATAGAAACGTGTCGTGTGGCGAAACATATGGGGGCTTCGGCCCTTGAATTGACGTAATCGATGTGATGATGATACACTTTCTCCTGAACCGGGCCTCCTTTGGCCAAGTATCGTGCTTATTTTTCGTGAACACAACGAAAAAATTCGAGCAAATACGAAATTGTCTCAGAAGCTTCGGCTCGGGGCTTGCTTTATATCCGCTGACAAATCCAGCAGATCCATCGAGTCTTCTGAGGTGGTCTACAAATACTAGCAATAGTCACACGGTCGCGTATCAGTTCTCCCAAGACGACTGCAAAGTGAGAGACATCTTCTTCTCAGCCATGTTCGTGGGAAGCGCAAAATTAAGCTACACATGAATATGGATTCATACCTATACTGTTTATGCCATGTTTATACTGGATTCATTTGATGTTCGGAGGGAGCTACGCTTTCCACGAACATGGATTCATACCAACTAGCCCAATCTGCATGTTTATCTTCTCAGCCGATGTGTTTCTCCTCCTCGCCTCTTCGAAAGTCTTCTGCTTTTGCACTTCCTCCACGGTCAGGTCGAGACGTGGCGAGCATTCCGCGCCTCATCTGCTTTTGCACTGCTCCCGTGATGGCTCCACCTTTCACCAAGCTTTGATGTCACATGAACTAGACGTCATGTTATGTGAAGTCACAATTACGTCACACGGGGACGTCATCACGCGATAACTTTTTGAATCATTCGCGCCGAGTCCTGCGACACAGACGTTCAATTTACCCGTTTTGTGAGGCATCTAAGATTTTCGCCCTCTTAATTAAGGTAATGAACAGTTATTAACCACACAAGTTTTGCCAGGATTGTTCTAGTATTGTTCGCTAGTGGTGTGCAACCATGTGTGAATAACAATTAGGTGCAGTTTTCATGCACTTACCGCACTAAATAAGAATGGGAAAATCGGGAAAAAGAAAGGCAGAGGACACGTAGGGCGCTGGTTTTCAACTCAGCCGAATGTCAGCGCGTCCTACCGGTCCTTCGGCTTTACTAACCTTTGATTTTTTTTTCTCATTCCTACTTGGTGAAAAACCAGTGCCCGATTTTCACTTTTCTTTGAACACTGGATAATGCATAGAAAGTAAATTTTGCAGCTTACCCAGCATTTTGCTTTAAGCAGTTGCAGAGCCATTGTGCAGATGCGAAAGAAACTTCAGGGAAATAAATTGAACGCTGCTAACTTTGATCGTCGAGTATAATATTTCAGCAGGAAAGTATCCAGAAGCTTTTTCGGGGGGGGGGGGGGGGGTCCAATTATACTTTATGCGTTCTGACGCGGGCGTTTGTGTGCGTCTATAATATGCACATAAAATTACAAAAGTTCCGGGTAAGAAGGGTTTCAAGTCTCACGCCTTTGTACCTCAGTGTGTGATCGCTTGTTCCCTCTAACGAAGGGCCTACTGCACTTTGGTTTCGAGGTCTACATTTCTTGTTCTTGCGACACCAATCGAAGAAAAACGTGAACTTA